TGAAACTAGCTATCAAGAATGGTGATAAATCGCCTTCCTTTGACAACCTAGTGATTGGACATCTGTCTTACAAGGTTAATTAGTGCCTTCTTTGGACCTATTTCAATATAACAGATGATGATTAAAAATTATTATGAGACTCTGCCCTGACTGGTATGGCTCAGTTGGTTGTCCCACAGACTAAAAGGTTGCTGGTTCAATTCCCAGTCAGGACACATGCCTGGGTTGTCCTGGAACCAGGTCTCCAATTGCGGGGGTGTGAGAGGCAACCAGTTGGTGTTTCTCTCTCACATCAATGTTTCTCTTCCTTGTTTCCTCTCTCTCTAAAAATAAATAAATAAAATCTTTTAAAAAATGATAAGATGCCCTTGAAGCTCAAAGTTGTATTTCTAAATGTTTTATATTTATTCAAAATATGCAAATAAATGTAAGATCAAATTGACAGTTACACATAAAAACCTTGGTATAAGAGAAAATAAAAACACAACAAAACAAAAATGTGGTTTTAAAATGTGATTTGTTTCCTGAGTATATTAAAAAAATATATTCCAGCACTTTTTATACTGATGGGAGTATTCTGTATCTGTGCTGTCCAAAATGGTAGTCTACAGCCACATGTGGCTACTGAGCTCTTTTTTTAAAGAGACCTTATTTATTTTTAGAAGAGGAAAAGAGGGAGAAAAAAGGAGAGAAACATCAATGTGTGCTTGCCTCTCATATAACCTCAACTAGGGACCTGGCCTGCAACCCAGGCATATGCCCTGACTAGGAATTGAACCAATGACCCTTTGGTTTGCAGGCTGGAGTTCAATCCACTGAGCCACACAGGCCCAGGCCTATTGAGTTCTTCAAAAGCAGCAAATGCAGCTGAAGAATTGCATTTTTAAGTTTCATGCAGATGATTTGTTGAGTTGTACACTTGAAACCTGTATGGTTTTATTAACCAATGTCACCTGAATAAATTCAATAAAAAATAAATTTTTATTTAATTAATTAATTTACATTTAAATAGCCATGTGTATTTAGTGGCTACTGAATTGGATAGTGATAGCACAGATCAAGTCACACAGTGTTTCCCTCTGAGGAAAAATAAAACACTTTAAAACTATTGTCACCTAGACCACATTTCTGTGAGACAACATAAATCGGTATTAACTGCTTTATTTTTATATGAAGAAATTGATTTGTTGGCAGAACATGGACAAAATATCTTACCCTAGCCCAGGGATCTTTTGATTAGCCCACAGGTGTTATTTTCCAGATGAAATAACAGTGGTGATGGGTAAATTCCATTGTGATCTTTATATATTCATAAGAAAATTTTAACTTGTACAGTAAATGACACTCAACATTTCTGGGGCCTGAAGAGGTAAAATGATTATAAAAAGTTAACAGTGAACTCAGCTGTGTTTTTTAGGAAGCCCCTCTACAGATCATGGATTCTCTCTTCGTGTAGCTCCCTTCTCTCTTCCTCTGTCCTGATCTGTCCTGTGGGCTCTAGCAGCCTTGGTCTCCTGGGACTCTTAGCTCTGTTGCTTCACATCAGGAATTCTGGGTACCCCTCCTTGCACCATGTCCTGGAAACTCACAGAAGGCCACAAAATTGGATGACGTTTGACCCAACATTTATGACCACATTCTAGATGGCTGGATGGCTTCCTAACAAACTCGTTCTGCTTGTGTGGGCCTTCCAAACCTGCCTCCTGGACACCAGTACTTCGTGGCTATTGAGAAACTGTTCGAAAAAGAATTACTGCTGTCCAGTTGCACCTGAGGGTTTTGCCCTCATTGACTGACTGTTCTAGTCACTCAGGAAATTGCAAACAGCTTTCTAGATGAATACCTGGACCTCAGCGTGGCCAAGAAACTAACGAGGTGTTTCTAATTTTTGGCCTGTCCCCTTACCTTTAATACTTTCCAGTGGTGACCTCACACTAAAGGTAATGTGGTGCTACTTGTTAATTTTTTTTAAGATTATATTTTTTCTTTTTAAAAACATTAACAGCAAAAAAGAGCCATAAGAAGCAACAACTTCAGAAACTTCAAATGACAGCAACTTGTGGGAGCATTATAAGAATTAGAAGTGCTTCATTTTAGCTCTGCAAAGGACAAATACAGTTTTTGTCAAACCTGAGGCTGATTTGATGTGGTATACTAATTACTGTCTTTGCTCTTCTTTGATGGAGAGCACAGTAATGACTTAGAAGAAATCACATCTCATTTACTTTGGCAGCACAGAAATGATTGTTCTCAAGGAGGAAGAAAATTCGAAGATTGAGGTTATGAAGGTTAGAGTAAAGCCGATTAATTATTTTCTGTTTTGAATTTTAAAATTTCTTAGAATCTTTTCTTTTTTTTCTAACATTTTGCCACATCATTTCTCAAAAGAATCTCTCTTTAGTTCAAAAAACCACGATAGTTCCCCAAAGAACAGTATCTTCTTAAGGAGCAGCCAGGACAGGGGAAGGTAATGAGTGAAGGGAGGCAGTTGCGAGCTTCGTGGCGCAGATCAGGGGCTGCCCGGGGAGAATTCGCCCTGGCAGCACCATGCCCGTTTCCAGAGCTGGCCCAAGGGAGAGCAGAAGCCCTTTCCCTGGGATGACCTGCGTACTCTGCAGGAGGAGCAGGCCATAGGCATGTCTGGGAAAGAAATCCAGAGCTAATTAATAGCTTCTTTCTTCCTCTCGCTGTCACCTGCCCTTGCACATCAATTGGGCCAATCACACTTGAACTTCTGTTCAAAGAATTGACTTTTTCCTGGACTCAGCCTGTGTGTTATTGGCCAGATTACCACCTTGCTCACACAGCCTACCATTAATGGAAGGAGTTCTCTAAAGACGGACCTCGCATTCACCCATCACTGTCTTTCATAGGCAACACCCTTGCCCTTAAGCTTCACATTCTGCATTAAAAGCATTTGACTGTTGAGAACTCTTATTTTGCAGAATCATTCCAAATTCTGCCTTTTAACAATTTTTTGAGTGAAAGAAATGGTAGAGTCCCTGCTCTCTTTCTATACGAAGATTGCATTGACTTAACAAAGGAAAAGCAAATGTGTCTGTCTGAGTTTGTGAGGCCTTACTGTGCATCTTATTCTCTTAGTATTGGGATGTTGATGCCCTGCTTATGCTGACCAATCAAGAGGTGGTGTCACCCATCCATACCTGGATCCCAAAGAGTGTCAGAACACAAGCGGGCAGGTGCAAGCAAATTCAAAGTCAGTGTACAAAAGACTTTGTGGAATTTGGCAGCAAGCATTCTGGGCTGGAGCCATCAGACGTGGGTTCTAGTCTGTCTCTGCATCTAAGCACTGGGATGCTGTGAGGCCATGTAACATTGGTGGGTTCAGTTGACTAATTTCTTAAACCAGGGGCTTAAAGTGGGCTTAGAATGGAGAGTTCATTCCAGCTCTGACCTCCTATCACTCTAAGGATCTCATTCAATGAAATTGGAAGAAGAGCCAGAGCATATTAAATTTTACTTACATGCAATAAATAGGCTATAAATTCTAAAGAATATTCCATTTTGTAATTTGCTTTTTAATAAACAATCTTATATTTATATAATCCACTTCAGTCTTTAAAACATTCTATTCCTATACAAGTCGGAATTTTATAGTTATGAAAAGAGATACATGGAGACATCTTACAAAAAAGATCCTATAATTAAATTACCAGTTCCATTCCCCCTTTCTTAACATCTTGAAGAGGAAAGTCATCTTGCTGGGGGAGATACTAAGGTGTTATATATAATAACTGGCTGAGTGAGAAGAAGAGAAGGAGAAGTTTGCTCTGTGGGAGGAAAGTGACTAGAAATTTGAAATATCATTTTAGTAAGTTTGTTGTGGACTAATTGTGGATCTCTCAAAGACATAAATATAAAAATTTACTTTTTAATTTTTCATGGTTGTTATGTGCTTCGTGAATGCAGCATAACTCTAATGCCATATCATATGATGCCAAGATGTTTGAAGATGACTATGTTAAATGAAAATTAGAGATCCGATTCCAAATAGCATTTAAGATCTTTTCAGGCTCAAACAAGGCCCCTTCTGTCCATGTTTTTTTTTTTCTTCTCTCTAATCCCTCTACCCACCATCTGACAAACACTTATTAAAATTATTTAGGTGTTAGATATGCAAGGGATGACTCTGATATAGGCCTTTTCCTTGGAGAGATCCCCAGAGGTTGCAGGCTTACCTGGGCAACTGTGGCTGGACACCACAGCTATCTCTGGTCTGTGGGCTTGGAAGAATTGAACTGAGACTATCTCCAGTACAAGTTAGCTGGCAACCATATTCCCCATCTCTTTTAACCCACCCTATTTCAAATTCATTCTCTTCTTGAATCACTTTCTTTTCAACTCTGGCTATATCCTGCCAATGGAGTTCAGATCATTCCTTGGCTAATACCAATTCTGTCAAATGACAGGATGAGAAAGCATAATCACAAAACACCAAGTCCCTAAGTAAAAGCCTCTCTCATTTAAAGCATAATAAAGCAAGGTACATGACATGTTCCTGGAAAAGCACTGAAATGATCTGTGAGGACTTCCCTCCAGTTATATTTTCTTTTCATAGCAGTGACATTTGAAAAAATTAATATCCTTTCTTTCAATCAATATTTTTGGAAAATCTCTAGATGTAAGGTCATTTGAACATACATCAGTATTTCAACATTACATTATTTTCTTTATACCTATGTTTCAGTATTTTTATTAATAAAAATCTAACTATTAAGATTGTATCACTCTAAAATTAACAAGAACAACTACAAAAAAATGACTTCAGGGCTTAAACAAGTGAGAGGTTTCTTTTTCTGGAGGTAGGCAGCTCAGACTGGAGCAGCTCCTCAAGAATGTCTAGGAATCAAGCTCAATTTGTCTTCCTGCATTGCCAGTCATGGTCATATCCAAATGATCGCAGAATGGTTGCTGTGTGTTCAGAAAAGAAGACAGAACGATAACAGTCTTTCTTTGATCCAGACTTTATTCCAGAAAAGACAGCCTCCCTAGAGACTTGTGCCTATATTTCATTGACTAAAACAGTGTCACATGGCCTCCCCTAGCTGCAAAGGAGTCTAAGAAGGTAACTACTTTATTTTCTAGCCTCTGTAATAGAGACAAGCAAGAGAAAGGGGGGTAGAATTGAGTGTCAAATGAACTAATCTGCGTTGCCTGCCTTAGTGACTTATATACTAATATATATAAAAGTAAATGCAACTTACAACTGCACTCCTCCCCTGCAGCCTATTAGATGGTTTCACAGTGACATACAAAAAATACAAAGGCAAAATGCTTTATAAATTATAAAATACTTTGTGAATGTCATCTTCAGGTATATTTAAATGGTTAATTAAATTTTCAGCTTCCAAGAATTTTATGAAAACATCGTTTATCTCCAACTTTGATTCCATACTTGATATATCAAAAATATATATTCTCAGCCAGTATGATAGCATTATTTTCTCTCTTTTCAGTGATCATTCTTAATAATCATAGACACTGTTCTGGGCCACCTTGGGTGAACATTTCCCTTTTTATCTCTAGCTATTTTGTTCTTCTCACATTTATCTATTTGTATCTGAGAGTAGAAGCTGTACCTGAATTACAAACAGGAGGGAATTGCCAATTCACCAGCTGGCTATGTATTCTTTTTCCTTAATCTACTGCACATTTTGTCCAAGTGCTGATTTATTTCATTGAGTAGTTGCATCCAGACAGCTATATGCCAATCATGTGTGCCCTGATTACTCATTATGAGCCTTAGGATACCATACAACTCACTAATGAGCATATTATAATGCTGGCCAGTGACAATTAGACGATAATCATGCGCACTGCTTTATTTACTGTCCACTCATTTAAATTAATTGGGCATTTAATTGAACACAGTGTGAAAGAAATTGGAATTGGGTTTCTAAGTTAAGTTACTTTCATCTCCCACATCTTAGGGGTAGGTGAGTTTATTCACTTGATCTGGAAACTTAAAGCAAATGCACATAGACATAATTATTTTATAATGGTACACACATATGTAAATTTATCTCAAATTTTGTTTGAAAATAGCAATAAAATTTGCAAATTTTTAATCTCCGCTAATATCCTTCTGTGACCTGCTTACAGAGAAAATCTAAATGCATGAGGTATTAATAAATCCAACTCTTGGTTGGAAATATGAGATGTGATCTTAAGCCAACCTGATATTGTTCTAATATTTTCTTAGGATAGGAAATTTACATTTAATTTATTAATAAATATGTGACAAACCACACTTAATTATGATCCTATGTATTTTTATCTTTCAGGACATAGTATCAAAATATTTCAGGTTCTACATTTTTTAGTGAGTGTTTAATTGTCAAAAATTGCATGCGTGAATGCACCATTAAGTTCAAAGTGTTTTTTCATTGAAATAATTTCTTAAAAGCACATGTAGAATAGACATTGAGTAACTATATTAAAAAAAAAGAGTTTCTAGACAAAAGACTCTTTAGGCCAACTCTTACTTTTTCCTCAAATAATAACATTCCTGGCTTATGGACATCTGCCTCCATGTAATTTTGACAAGCATCAAATGACTGACATTTTCTTTCTAAAATAAGTTGGAAGATCTGCTGCTCCAGCTATCCATAAGAATTCTTCATAGGAAAAAATTATAAACAATTCTAATAAATTAATTGGAACTAAACTTATTTTGGAAAGAAGACCTCAAGGGAATTAGGTAATATGGCAGCTTTTAAAGTTACATTGCATTACACTAAGGCTAAGCAGTCTTAGTTCTCTCCCTTTGCCAACTCAACTCAAACAGGTGAATCAAATAAAATGTAATGCATTTGATGTAAAGAATGCAAAGGACTTTGATCCCTCTGAGAAGAGTTAATATAATTTTATTTGTAACTCCTGACATCATGATGTCTAATTCTAACAACATCTCTCTTTAGTCCAAATGGGCACTATGATCTTTGTCTAAACAAGTTTTCCAAAGTTTCAGAGTACAGTATAAAGACAAGTTTCAAGGGAGAAGCTGGGATAATGTTTTTATAAAGCTCCAATTGTAAAGGAACAGCTGAGGTTCAGAATCTAGATTCTCTAACTCACTCTGTCTCATAGAGTAGCCTCTAGTCACATGTTTCTACTGGGAACTTGACATGTGGCTACTCTGAACTGAGATATGCAGTAAGTGTAAGTACACATTGGTGTTTGAATATTTAACATGATACAGTGTTAATAATTTTTATATTAACTACATGTGGTGGTGAGAATATTTTGAATACATCATGTTAAATAAAATATATTACTAACATTAATTTCATCTTTTCTGTTTTCCTTTCTTTAGTGTAACTAGGAAATTTTAATTATATATGTGGCTCTCATTAGTGGCCCATACTATATTTTGATTGGAAGGCACTGCTCTATCCTAACAGGCAGAATGAATATTTCTCAATTCTATCATCTTGGAGCTGACAAATTATTGACTCAAAAATGAAAAAAAAAAAAAGCTCCTCAGTCCTTGAGGTGTTCAAAGTCTCATTACTCCAAGACCTCTCATTAATTCCTGTGTAGTGACAAGACTGGCTCCTGCACAGAGAAAGCACTGAGTGACCTGGGAAGCAGCTAGACGTTGGCTTTTCACACACACTGGACCTAGTTTCTTTCATTTTCTACATATAGACATTTAAAACTAAATTGTTCCTGAAGGTCATTAGAAATTAGCTTGGATCCCAATGTATGACAATGTGTGTAGAAGTAAAATAATCATCATTTCTTCTAAAAGGAAAATAAAAAATAACCATGGCATCTTATAATGGGTACATCATCTGTGCGTGAAGTTCTTGAGTCAAGTCAACTGATAGGGGCTCCTGTGGTGACCAGCTTGTAATAGGCTCCTTTCTGGGCCATCAGCTCTTTGTGGGTCCCCTTTTCAATCACTGTCCCCTGTGACACAACAGCAATGATATTTGAGTTCTGGATGGTGGACAGCCGGTGGGCAATGACAATGCAGGTCCGGCCTTCTCTGGCTTTGTCCAGGGCAACCTGCACTGTCTGCAAAGAAAAGATGGAAAGATGATGCAAAGATGCCTGCTTGTTCCCTGGCCCACCATTACAAGGGTTCTGTTTGATACTACCTGAGTAACATTGCTATTGTCAGGGGTTCAACCCAAAGACTTCACATGAAAGAAATAAGTGTTTGCTGAGTACACAGCATTAATGGTTTGAATTGCAGTCCATAGGCTGAGAAATTTCAGTGAAACAATAGAGAACCGAACTATGAGGTCTTGTAATTTCAAAAGACTTGATGGTCTAATTTGCTAAAATGAAACCAAAGAACCAAGGTTAAGGCAAGAATCATTATCATTCCTGATTTTGTTCTTCATCAAGGACATTTTAGCCATCTCCAAAATGGAATCCTGGTTTTTAAGGAGTTAATAAACAGTAAATTTTATAATTGCATTTTGCTCAACTGCATTTCCTGTCATGCAAACTTCACATCAGATACTGTATCTTACTTAGTGTTGTATGCTGTCCACCTGCTCTGCCACCTAACTTTAGAACTATAAAAACTAAAATACCCAACAAATGACCTCGATTATTTTACTTTCCTTAAGAAAGCTAATTATTTTCCTTGGAAAAAAGGTCACTAAGCCTAGAAAATCTTTTAAAAAGTTTTATATTAAGGTTAAAATTTTTTTTTATTTGAAGCAATCCTATTTTAAGTTACTATCTCTAGACTATTGTCCTTGGCTCCACAAAGTATTGGCAATTTCTACTGTTAATGAATCAGAAAATTGAAAATTGAAGGACAAATATTGCAGGAAAAGATTCATTTATGATGATCTAGGAGTTCAGAAAATCAATACGTACCTTTTCACTTTCTGTGTCTAAGGCAGAAGTAGCTTCATCTAGCAGTAAGATTTTAGGATCTCGCACGATGGCCCGAGCAATAGCAATGCGTTGTTTCTGTCCACGAGAGAGTTGAGACCCCTGGGACCCAACGTTAGTTTCATATTTCTGGAAAAAAAATATGATAAGTTTGGAAACTAGTAGCTACCATTGCTCTTATGCTGTATAGAGCCTACATCAATGATCCATCTGGGAATCTAAACAATTTGTTGTTTTTTTGAAATTGGGATTAGTGAATGAGTTCTTCTATGTACGATGTCAAATCCATTTAGAAATCTAAGACAAGCATGGAGTTTGTGATCCTTTTGTGATGGGGGAAACAGCGGTGGGGGGGTTTTGGGGGGGGTGGAGACAAGAGGACTTTAATCCCCTTCTCTACATTTCTTTTAGCTTTGTATTTTTTAATCACTTTCTCCCTGTGTGAGATTCCTCTTTGATTAAAGATTCCCTAATTTCCAAACTCCTTTGAGAAAGATCTCTCTAAAACAGAATAATCCTAAGAGTGGAAGGGCCTTGAGAGAGGTCTGTTTGTCTAGTTCCCTGTGGAGGACACATCATTCTAGAAGGCAAGCCTGGGTGGGGCTCTCTTTTCTGCTGCTCATTAGCTCTGTGATCATGAAAAAATTATTTAAATTTCTTTGAGGTACAAACCAGTCTGAAAAATGCAGATATTAATAACTAGTTCACGTATTTGTCATGCATTTTAGATGAAATTATGAAGGAAAATTTCTTGCTAGAGACTGGGCATGACTATATAAAATAATTAACATTTATGGAATCTTTGCTATGCATAAGGTATTGTACTAACTATTCCAGCCAGGTTATCATTTAATAGTCACAAAAATCATTTTCTCCCTATGTCAGAGATTATAAAATTTAGGCACACACAGGTAAGAAAATTGTATAAAGATAAACAAGTAAAAAAGCAGTGACAGTAAAATCTAAATCCAGGTGTGTCTAGCTTCTAAGCCCTTGTCCTTGAACTCTCTCTCCCGGCCTTCCACAACAAAGTCTGCTTCTGCCTCCTTTGCCTCCTGACAGATGCGCAACCAAGCCAAGTGAGATTCGTAATAACCTACTTTGTCCTACCTTAACCACTGAGAAAAAATGCTCAGTGAAAGGTATTATAGGTAAGACTATATGAGAAAGAGGCAATAAATTAACTCCAAGCCAGCATCTCCCACAAAATAAGTAGGTGCTCAACAAAGATTTGTACAATAAATGAATCTTCCAGTGGACACGCAAGCTTTGCTTTTCATTTAGGATACAGCAGTGATTTTCCACATTAGGCTACCTAAGTTAGAACGAGGCAAGAGCCTAAGACTGAGAAGCTTTTGTGAAGAGAACAAAGAAAAAAACCCAGCACAAACACCACAAAATTTAGAAACATAGTCACTTACAAAGAAATACAATTTCCCAGTGGCATTTAAAAGACAGAAGTGGGAAAAGTGAAATGTAATATTTGGCTCCTAAAATTCAGTTTCCATGTCTTAATTTTCTTTGTGATCACTCATCAAGAGAGACTCATGGTAGACAGAAAAATTTAGAGTCAATACTGTGTTACATTTGAACTTGACTCTGGAGAAGTGTGATGAACTAAGACAGATGCAGTTTGCCCCACCAGCTGCAGTTTATGCTGCCAAGTAATGAAGTTATAGTGATGGCAATAGTAACAGCAGCAGCTTTCATTGTAGGGCTGTTATGTATATTCTTTCACTTTCATGCTCTTTTTTGCATTTTTGCAGATGACTGAGTCTCAGAAAAGATCAGTAATCACCCCAAAGTTACACAACTAATAAGTGGCAGAGCTTGGATTCAAACTGATGTCTGCTTTACATCTCAAGACTTTCTTTTTTTTTTTTTTTCTATGCTAAGCTGATGTTCATGTGCTACTGCTTTAGGTACAACAAGTTCTATAGCATCCTTTGCACATGATAATGTAATACTTCTCAAAACAAAAGAGTATGTTAATGAAGGACATTGATTTTGCTTAAAGACTGAGTTGAATCCCAAGCACTGGGAAATAAATCGTGATGCCTTTGACCTTCCCTTTGAGCCTAAATTATAATAGTCATTATAGTCTTCAGTCATTCTACCTGTCCCCATCAGCATCTCCCATAGGGAACAACTCTGACTTGGGACTTACCTCTGGGAGAGACATGACAAAGTCATGCAGCTGAGCCTGCTTTGCGGCTTCTATGACTTTTTCCATGGGAATTTCTTTGGTGTTGTCCCCATACTTGATATTGTCCATTATGCTGCAGGCAAACAACACTGGTTCCTGGGAAACAATTCCTATGTTCGAGCGGAGAAACTGAACATTGACCTTTTTGCTGTCATGCCCGTCTATCATCTGCCAACAGAGGTGACAACCAGGGAATGAGGTTTTAGAATTCCAGCAGCGAGGAAAGCCCCTATTCTAGAGTTCATGTTATGTTGGACACTTGCTTTGCTTAAGAGATGATAATCCCAGGATGCTTGGAAATAAACTATGTTGTCTTCGACCCCCTGGAGGTGGTGTCTGTCAGAATAATGTAAAGTTGTGATCAGACCAGGGTTTTATTTGTTTGTTTCCCAAACTCTCACTCGATAGGTGGTACAAATAAGGAAGATACTCAGGAGAGGATTTAGTTGCTTTTTTTAAAATTCCCCTTATATTTGGGTGTAAGACATTCTCTACAAGTGTGCAGAACTCCCGGTTTTGCAACTCCATGGGTTACAAAATTGGGCAACATAAGAATCAAACCTGTTTCCATGATCTTACTCCTCTGCATAACTGAAATAGTAGATCCAAGTAAGAGAGTACATTTATTCACTTACTCAGTCACTCAATAAACATATACGGAATTCCCTGCCACAAAGGCACCTTGCTAGGCAGCCTTTTTGTCTGCTATAAGAAGAAAAGATCTCTTTTTTCTAGGAACTCATTCCCTAGTTAGACAGTTAAGTATAGGAACTCAAATACCTACCGTTTGAGCTGGTTCACTTAAAAGTCCTAGAATAGTTAAGATACAGTATGTCTAAAATACTACTGTAAAGTATTTGCCCTTATAATTTCAGAAAAAGACTACATTAAATGGTGTGACATATTATTGTGCAGATAATGTTTCAGCAATGGAAAAGGCAAACACTATTAGAAAAAACATACGGCATTCCTCAACAATTAGCGTTCTCTCATTCTCCATAGCACTTACAGTCTGCAAAGCACAATTTAATACTAAATTAAATACTGGAGCTGTTTGCTAGTTGTTGTACAAGTGCTAGTAGTATAAGCTTCTAGAAGACAGAGACACGCTTCATGCTCTTTAGAGTCTCCCACAGGGCCTAATGCAGTACTGCACACCACAGGTATCCAATTAAGTGTTGAAAGGTTGAATGCCTGCATTTGGTAGCTTCCTTAAGATCAAAAAGGATTTTTCAAAATTGTATAAAAACTGGTGTTTCATCTACTTACAAACATTTGTGGAAATGTTTTACAATGACAACAAAATGTAACATGTCCACAGAATCATATTGATTTCTTCATGGGCATTGCTTTTTACCTGTGACCAGGACATTAGCTGAGCACATTTAGGGAAATATACTTAATGTATATATTTTTCCCAGCATTTCTCTTCATACTGCTATCTTTCCTTATTGCAAGGAAAATTAAACTACTCAGGGAAATTTTTGTTAAAAAAATGCATTTTTCAAAATATTAAATGAAGAGTAGAGCAGAATAAAGGAATCTCAGACCCACGCCTCTGAATCATATCTTAGAAAATGACTGTTGAGGCACTCCAACAAAATGAGAGGGAAAATCACGAAAGAGGAAGATGTGGGAACTCTGGAAATAATGAGTCTAATCTAAGAAAACTGCAGGAACCTCACAGGGTGACAATTACTCAGCAGGTACAGGTTGTAATTAGCCTAGGCAGTGACAGAAATGAGGGAAAGAAGCAGGTCCTTCAAAATAGGTAGCAGCATGGAGGACCCACGTATGAAGGACTCATGGACAAAGCCAAAGTGGGGAAGGAGACAGGGTTGGGGGGGGCAGGGGACAGTGGTGGCAGGAAAATGGAGACAACAGTACCTGAACAATAAAAAAAAATTAAAAAAATAGGTAACAGGATAGAAACATTGGAAAAACACAAAGATTTTATAAAGGCAGGGAATGCAAGAAGAAAAAATCCTTTCTGAAAAACAAAAAAATGTAATGCTAATGTACCTCACTACTTGACTATGGGATAGACATTTATTTACGTAATCATAATACAAGTTGTTAATTGATTTTCAACTTGAGAATCAGCCTGGAGTGAAGTCATGAAACGTAATAAATGTTATAAAGAGAATGTAAGACTTTTTTGTATTCTTGATCATATAAAGGTGTAGTGTTAGGACTTGACAGGTAAAAGGAGGAAGAGGTGAAAATAAAGGTAGAACTGCTAATATTTTCATCTTGGGAAGAATTCAAGAGATGTTATCTATATATAGGTGGTGAAAAAAATCAGAAGTGTATTAGTTAAATTTATAAATAGAGGAACTTTTATATATTTATATTGGGAGGAGGTGGGTAAACGGAGGAACAGTGGTGAGTGGTTAAATTTCCATTTCTTGAAAATAAATCAACAGGATCTAAATCTGTTAAATCATGAAACAGCAGCATAAGCATATTATTTAGAGACAATGAGGTAATCACTGGGAGATCTAAAAACATCAGTGGTTAAAAAGAGTTGCCTTTGAGCAGAGTAGTGGGGAGCGGGAGAAAGGGTAGAATAAAAACTTGCTTTTCATTACAAATCTTTCTTATTTTACTTTGTACTCCTTTGCATATATTATTTGGAAAGAAAAAAAAGAGAGAGAAAGGAGAAAAAATAGAAACACTGTGAAAAATAGCAACAAAGCAATCCACGAATTTTTCAAATATTCTCATCACAGCTTTATGGAGCATGACTATCATTGGAGTTCCTTATACTATTAAGATTTAAGCTTCTTGAACCAAGATTGCCTCTGATTTTTTTTCATACTAAATCCCCTTTCTTACTCATTTATCATTGTGTCCCTCCCTTAACACCCCCATTTTTTCCGTTCCCAGTCATTAGTTTCCTGATTAGTCTGCACTTTCTGCTCCATTTACGGGTAAGTGAATGCTTCTGTTAAATACACTCGTCTCCAGCTTTGCAGTGTGCCCAGTTTTCTTTGTCTAACTGGTCAACAGGCCATCTGGAACTGGGAAGAATATGATATTGGAAATTGGAAGGTAGAATCAGGTCAACCAGCAAATGACTGGTATTAGAAACTATCCATAGGGGTGAGCGTCCAAGGCAAGTGCTTTAGAGTAAGTCTGACTAGGCACGATTTTGAAGACCACATTCAGGGGTAGGAGACAGTTTGCAGAAAGCAAGTTTCTCTAAAGCATTTGCATTGCTTACCACCTTCCCTTGGTCAGGATCATAGAAACGTTCCAACAGCTGAATGCTGGTGCTTTTGCCACATCCACTGCTTCCAACAAATGCCAGTGTTTGCCCTGGACTAACCGACACTGAGAGACCATTCAGAACTTGTATATTAGGTCGAGATGGATATGTAAATTTACAGTCAACAAAGTCAATCTGCCCCTGGAAATTGTCCTGTGGGTGGGAAGATTAGAATTATATATACTCCTACTAGAATCTAGAATATTGAAAATGCACATAAATCTGAGTTTTAAACCCCTACTTAAGATACCTTCAACACCATGCTGCCAAAGTGCAAAGTATAAAGACAGAATGGCATTCTATTCCCCATTTTAGCAAGTATAGAATAAAGATGCTTGAACAGTGAAATTAAAGACATTTGAGCTCTTATACCCATTCTAACCTAAAGGGATTTCCTTGTCATCCAAGAGAAAAACTAGAATACATGATTACATCGCAGAATCCAGGAATTATCCAGACCCCTATAGCTCTGTTCCTCCAAAGAAATAAAATAATAGCATTGCAGTTGAAATGACTTAGAAAGTTATGTGACTCCTATACTGCAAGGGTGAATACCTTCAGTTGTACTATATGAATTATGAACCTTAGAAATGGACAGACATTTAATAGACTATACAGAGACTTTACTTTTATTGAGCTGAAGGAGAGACAGGTCATTAGAGCAATTTAAAAAGATTTCTGAATTTAGGTTAGTTTTACTAAGGTTAGATTTGTTTTGTTCTCCTGAACATATTTGGGTATTAAAAAACAAGCAGAGAAAATTTAAAAACATGTGTGGAGTCTATCAATTAGAAGAAAAGATATTTCATTAAGATTAAACTAGTCTTGGCAGGTGTGGCTCAGTGGATTGAGCACCAGCCTGTGAACCAAAGGGTCGCCAGGTTGATCCCCAGTCAGGGTACATGCCTGGGTTGTGGGCCAGACCCCTAGTAGCAGGTGTGTGAGAAGCAATCACACATTGATGTTTCTCTTCCTCTCTTTTTCTCTCCTTGCCCCTCTGTCTAAAAATAAGTAAATAAAATCTTTTAAAAATATATTAAATTAATTTTCTAGTAGTCCATATGAATGAGCTAAAACTTGAACCCAGATAAACACAAATTACACCCATATTATTGGACAAGAAGAACTGGTTTTCCTAAATTCTATACCAGAATATCAGTAGAAAACATGGTGGCCAGGTAGCTTCATTATTCTGGAACTAAGTGTGTTTTATAGAATATAGAATTTAGCATTCACTGGATATTGTTGCCTTCTTCAAATGCCTGCTTTGTGAATACTTTTTAATGCTAATTTACTTCATTTTTTACATCTATAAATCTGTCTGTCTATTCTGAGTCCATGTGAATGAACCCATGTACTGCAACAATTTAGAAGCTAAGTGGTGGTGTTGTATGATCAGCTGCAAAGGTTGTTCTGTGCACACGCATCAGCACAGCCCTCCCTCACTGCTCTCTTACTCCCGCCTCAGTACTTACCCATTTTTCACCTGCACCACTGTATACACTGATAGGAGGTCGTCGGTCCAGCAGTTGAAAAAACCGTGCAGCTGATATTTTAGCTTTGGCATAACTTGGAGTATAAGAGTAGGCTTTTCCAAGAGCTGTTGCACTCAGCACAACTGAAGAGATCACCCTGCAATTGGACGGACACCCGTGTAGAGGGGGCTGAGGTGTGGTGAACTAAGAGTCAGGAGTTTAGGGGTCTACTCCGGCTCGGCTAGCAGAGGCCTGAGCAGTGTGGGCAGGTCACTTTAGACTTGTCTGGAAAGGTAGAATTGGAGAGATTAGCAGTTTTCAAATTGTGTGCTTGAAAAAAAGGGCAGAAGGAGGATTAAACAAGGGAGGCTCAGACCTCCAAACTATGCTTCAATGACAAGTCTCTTTTTTAAAAACTTGTTTGAGAAAAGACTTCTTAAAAAAAAAAAAAAGAGGGCATGAAAATCATTAGACTGGATTGATTTTTATACAATGCTAACATTCTTTGAATCTATCATAAGTGCATAAAGGAGAATAATTGATGATAAAAGCATCAATTTGTACCAAGTATGCATGCAATTCATGCTTCAGACAGCATAAGAAAGATGTAATTGCCTGTATTTTTCTACTTGGCCCAGACTCTAACTATATTCAACATGTGTTTAATTAATGAGCAAATGAGTGAATGAATAAATGAAAGATAAACGTGGTGAGAGAGAGCTCTGTTGCTATATGCACTATGATGCAAGGGGCACCCTGCAAAGCTGTCTGCACGCACTGCAGAGCACAGAGGACCTCCCTCGGCAGTGGTGGCGGGCAGTGTCCTTGTGTGTTTTATTGCTCAGTTTATAAGCAGGAATTGTTTGAGGCCAGACTTGCAAACCGAAACACTTCCAGAAGCCCATCTCAAGGCCTAAAGCAATAAAAAACTGGAATAAAATGGGAAATGGTGGGAGGTGGTCTTTCAGTTTTTAAAGAGAAGAGAGAAATAAGGAGCTTATTATAATCTCCAGATTTTTACGTGACAATTAATGCTTCAAAAATCTTACATAAACTAAAAAGCAACAGTTTGTGATTTCAGACTGAAGTTAATAGCTCTAAATGTGTAAAAATTTAGAAGAGGCCTTCCTAGGTAGGGTCAGTGTAATGGGGAAGGAGAAAAAAATTCTTCTATATGGCATCTCAAAGGCAAGAAGATGGAATTCATGACTTGAGAATGAACCCAAAAGAAGAGATTTCTTTTGGGATGGCTTTTCCTAAAGCCCTGCAAGGTTGTCTCAGACCATTTCCCCTTACTTCTCCAATGCTCCCTCTCATGGCCCTTCTAAAGCCCTCTGACCAACCACACCGCACCCACACACAAGCCCGTTGGTGCCCTGACACGCGTAGGCTCTCTCTCACCTCTGGAAATGTGAGAAACTGGACTCAAAGCTGATCTTATTAGAAGAGCAGGCTCCAGCTTTAAGAAAGGAACATAATTTCCCTGAGCTGCCCTTTTCTGTCTCCACCTAGAAGGAGTCTGCTGGGAACATGCCCTTTTGGTAAGAATTAGAATTCAAATAAGGTAGTTCTCTGAACTATCCTGTTTAAGGTCTCTAGAGTTTCTCAACATTAGCCAGTATGATAGATTATGAAAACACTTAATTCATCTTATTATTCCATATGCACCCCTTTGCAATATGACTTTTTACTCCTCTGTGATATTGTGATTTATAGTAAGAAACATATTTTGCTTGCTCAGTTCTTGACACAGAACACCTAAACCTTGGAATTTCCTATATCTGGAGAGCAATCAAGGTGTCTTTGGCTATGTTAATGAAGTATATTTTGGAAAGTCCCTAGGTAACCTAAGGATGGGGGCTGGATGCCTGGGAAAGCAACCATTTGATTAAGGATGGACCTTCCAGTCTCTTCTCCCACATTTCACTTCCAGAGAAGGGCACAGAGGTTGAGGGACCTGAGGGTGGTGGGACTGGCAGGCTTGTGGGACTGTGTCCTTAACCTGTGGCCCCTGAGCTATATCTCCAGGCCCATGGTACCAGAATGAGATTGAATCGAAGAACATTCATCAAGTGTAAGAAGTGTTGTGAGTAATAGCAGTGTGAGAATAAAGGAGAAACATTGTATCCTCTCACCAAAAGGTGGGTTCTACTTTTCTATTCTTTAAATCTTGGCTTGGTTGTATGTCTTTCTTTGGTCAAAGAGATATTAGGAAATAGGATGCCTGCAGAGGCTTGACTTGCATGTTGGGGCTTGCTCCCTTTCGTTGCACTTGGAATTCTGAGTCCATAATGAGAACAAAACAAACTCACTTACTAGAGCAGCCCTGCGGAGACAGAAATCTGACTGAGTTGGCCAAGTCCAGAAGAACCACCCTGAGACCCCACAGAATCTTGAGAAATAATAAATCCCAGCCTTTTTCAGACACGAAGTTTAGGATGATTTGTTAAGTATCAAAAGCTAACTTACAGAACCAAGTTATTCCTCCCAGAGTGATGATCTTCTATGACCTTGGCCTATAGTCCTCACCTGAACACATAGCTGAAATGGAGCCCTTCATTGTAGATTAAGTAACCTCCATATCTGTAGGAAGCAGAATTAGCAACAAACACAATGCATTGGGAAAAGCCAAAGCAGAATCCATAAACATTTGCTTTTCGAATGGCAGTCTTGAATGGCTTCACCAGCTCTCTCTCAAATGCTTCAATAAACTGCCTCTCCTTTCCAATTCCAGCAATAGTGCGGACGTTACTAAGGGCTTCACTTGTAATCTGAAGAATGAAAAAGAGTTTTAGGAATAAAAAAATTTAAATAACTACTTTCGTGACATTTCAGCCGCTACGTGGACTAAATCAAGTACAAGTAGAAGAATGCAGTACAAGTCAGAAACAAAGGCAGCATCTGGGAACACAAAGAAGTTGATGCAGATCAACTCAGTTGGACTGTGAGACATTCTGTCAGTCAAGTTCAAGTTCTACTTAAAACCAACATGGTTTTGCTGCCTCCACTGACTGTGGAGTGGCAGGGTTGCGGGGGGAGGGTGGAGAGATACTTGGTTATCCTTGAAAGCTTTTCAGCTTCTCCATTAATTCATTTAAAATGTCTAAAATGGTATCTCTAGATGTCTTCTTAGATAAAAGGTTATTTAATAATACAAATTTAAAATATTACCTTCTATTTTCTTAAAAAATTAATCTGACCAAATATTATTTAAATAAATTAAAATTATGTATAAAGTTTATCTTTTAGTCTCTCCTAGAACTTTATTTCAATCCACACTCCAGAGTAAATAATCACTGTTTCTGAATTAGGGTCCTCTCCTAAAAAAAGACACAAAGGTGGGCTAGTTTCAACCATTGGCATACAAAATCCTTTTAGCTTTTGCCTGCTTGGGCAGTGTTCACATTCTCTCTCTTAAAAGAGACAAAACCTAGATTATCATCAAGTTGTTGAAAGAATGAGGGTGTATATATGCATATGTGCATTATTTCTTATAACTAGTAAATGTCCATGTTCTCATTCCCTTGTTTACCCCTGATAACCAGACATCAATTAGAACATACTTTTTAAAAGTGTATAACTAACACCTCAGTGAATTTGAAATCTAAGCTGTACTTCAGGGTTCTATTTAGGAATGACATTTGCCACAAGTCTACCAGACACTAAAGTGTGAAAATTAAAAGTGTGTGTGATTAAAAAGCTATCTCTGCTCCATGTGGGCAGCATGACCTGGGGAAACCATTAAGCTGAAAAAAGAAAACTGAACAGATAGAAAATTGAACTATTGAATTTGCAAAGGAAAATACAGCAAATTGAGATGTGGAAAAAAGAACGATTTGAGAAGAAATTGAACATGCCCCTCTATCTGTGCAAACTTACTCAAATCCTGTATCAGAACTTCAGAGCCACAGCCTTTGGGGGGAGGCACATATGAAAAGGGATAGTGGGAGGCTGATAACCATGAAAGTTAGTGGGCTTACAACTTCTTAAGTCTCTTTGCAATACACACCTATTCTTAACAGTTTGTGTGAGTGTGACAGCCACTGAGCCGTGATCAGTCTAGAAATTGGGTCTATAAGATTACCTGTCCCGCAATCTCCAGAGCCTGCTTGTCTTGAGAGGCAAATCCTGTCAACATTTTGGTCTGTACAGCTCCCGATAAAGCCAAGAAAGGGAGGAAACACACTATGACCAGGCTTAGCTTCCAGCTAAAGAAGAAGGCGATAATCATGGCCACAGCGATGCTAGTGAAGGCATTGACCATCATTCCAATTTGAGAGCCGGTAGCCTGAAAGTCAAAAGCAATCAAATAACCTCAGACATAGAGACTCTGTTACCATAAACTATTATGTGAAAAGGCTATTTTATGCCAAGAAAATCGTTTTTAATAAATTACTATGATAGCACTGACGACCAGTCAAGATGGCAGTGTATGCAGACATGGTTTTGCAAAGTGGTAAGCTTGGCTTGCCTCCTTGCAAAACCATGTCCAAATTACAACTAAAATATAGAACAACCATCACTCAGAACCATTGGAAATTGAGCTGAATGGAAGTATGACAAGTATAGAATTAAAGAAACCACATCCACCCAGACTGGTAAACAGGGTGCAGACACGGAATGGGCTGGTCCCTTACCCACATGTGGAAGGATATCTCAGGAGGAGGAATCCCAGCCCCACACCAGACCCCCCAGCCCAGGGTTCCAGTGCCAAGAAGATAAGCCCACAGAACTTCTGGATGCAAAAACCAGCAGGGATTGAGTAAGTGGAAGAAACTTCTGGAGCCCCAAACAGTTCCTCTTAAAGAACCTACACATGGAGTCACCTACTCAGACTCGCTTCCTCTGAGCTCTAGCAGTAGGGTAGCAGCTTGAAAGGCACACGTGACATAAAGGAGGAACTGAAGTGCCTGGCATCGAGGTGGACAGAGGTCATTGTCCCTTTGCTAAACCCTCCCCCCACAGAGCTGGCAAGATGGTGCCATATCTGAGACTCCATCAACCTGGCTAACACTGTGTGACCATCTTGAAGATCCCCAGAGGCTCTGCCCCACCAAATTTACAGGCCCACCCAAGCTGCTTTTCCATAAGAGTGGTTTGTCTTGGCTCCTAAATCCTATCAAACAAGCAACAGTTGGCCTCAGTGGGCTCCAGCGGCAGCCAGATTAGAGTCACAGCTTGGCTTCACCTGGGAATCTCCAAGCCTGGCACAAGTACTAGCCATCTCAGATTGCTTGATAGCTCAAGAAGGGTGGGCCGGGGCAAAACACAGGTGGGGTCTGACTTTGGCCTCCACCACCCAGGAAACCCCGGGGCCAGCACACCCACTGGACAACTGCAGATCATATCAGAGAACCACCACCCTGCACCTGCACAGCTGATCCTCCATTGAGGGTGGAGGTTGGTGGTCAGTGGTCACAGCTAGTCCTTGCAGCTGACTGGCCTAGGTAAATCCCTCCCATTGATCTGCCAACAGCAACCAAGGCTCAACTACAAGAGGAAGGTGTACTCAGCCCACACAAAGGGTGAACCTCAAGTACCCAGCATGGGTGATAGGGGAGGCTGTGCCACTGAACTGTACAGGACACCTACTATAGTAGGCCACACTACCAAGATACAGAGTCAAAGAAGCTCCACCTAATACATAGAAACAAACAAAAGGAGGTTGCCAAAACAAGGAGACAAAGAAATGTGGCCCAAATGAGAGAACAGATTAAAACTCCAGAAAAAGAGCTAAATGAAATGGAGCTCAGCAATCTATCAGATACAGAGTTCAAAACACAGGTTATAAGGATGCTCAAGGAAGTTAGTGAGGACCTCAGCAGCATTAAAGAAAATCCAGTCAGAAATGAAGGATACACTAACTGAAATAAAGAACAATTAATAGGGAAACAACAGTGGAATGGATGAAGCCAAAAATCAGATCGATGACTTGGATCATAAGGAAGCAAATAACAATCAATCAGAACAATAAGAAGAAAAAAGAATCCAAAAAATGAGAATAGTATAAGCAGCCTCTGGGACAACTTCAAGAGGTTCTTCATTCGCATCATAGAGGTACCAGAAGGAGACGAGAAAGAGCAAGAAGTTGGAAATCTATTTGAAATAACAATGAAAGAAAACTTTCCTAATTTGGTGAAAGAATAGACATGCAAATCCAGGAAACACAGACAGTCCCAAACAAGATAGATGGAAAGAGGCCCACGCCAAGACACATCATAATTAAAATGCCAAAGGTTAAAGATAAAGAGAGAATCTTAAAATCGGCAAGAGAAAAGAAGTTAGTTACCTACAGGGGAGTTCCCATAAAACTATCAGTGGATTTCTCAAAAGAAACATTGCAGGCTAGAGGGGATTAGCAAGAAACATTCAAAGCTTTGAAACATTCAAAGCAAGAAACATGAAAAGAAGGGACCTACAGCCAAGACTGCTCTACCCAGCAAAGCTTTCATTTAGAATCTAGGAGCAGATGAAGAGTTTCCCAGACAAGAAAATGCTGACGCAGTTCATCATCACCAAACCATCATTCTATGAAAATGTTAAAGGGACTTATTTGAGGAAAAGAAGAATATCAAAAACTATGAACGATAAAATGGTAAAAATACATATCTATCAAAAATTGAATCTAAAAAACAAACTAAGCAAACTGGAAGAACAGAGACAGAATCATGGATATGGAGAGCATTTTGATGGTTGCCAGATAGGAGAGGGGTGTAGGGGAATGGGTAAAGAGGTGAGGGGATTAAAAAGTACAAATAGGGAGTTACAGAATAGCCGTGGGGATGTCAAGTACAGTATAGGAAATGGAGTAGACAAAGAACTTAAATGTATTATGCAGGGACAGGAATAATGGTGGGGGGATTGTCTGAGGGAGTAGGGGGTGCTGGGTGGAGGGGGGCAAAGGGGAAAAAAACAGGACAACTGTAATAGCATAATAAATAAAATATAATTTTAAAAATTATTATAAAATATATATAGCATAATGTTTATTATTTTAGCCATTCATAAGAGTGTTATTCAATGGCATTAAGTACATTCACAATGTTGTGTAACCATCACCACCATCTACACCCATAATCTTTTCATCATCCCCAACGAGAACTCTGTACCCATTAAATAACAATACCCATTCCTACCTCTCCCAAGGCCCTGGTCACCTCTATGCTATTTTCCGTCTTTATGAATTTGCCTTTCCTAGGTACCACATATAAGTGAAATGACATGATTGGTTTCTGTGTCTAGCTTATATTACTAAGCATAATGCTTTTAAGGTCTATTTGTGTTGTAGCATGTAACAGAGTTTTATTTCTTTTTTAAAAATTGAAGTACAGTTAACATACAATATCATATTAGTTTCAGTGTACAGCACAGTGATTTAACATTTAAGTATCTTAAGAAATAATCACCATGATAAGTCTGGCAACCATCTGTCACCATACAAACTTATTACAATATTATTGACTGTATTCCCTATGCTGCACATTACATCCCCATGACTTATTTATTTTATGACTGGAAGTTTGTACTTCTTTTAATTTCCTTCACCTCCCCTCCCACCTCCTTCCCCTCTGGAAATCATCAGTTTGTTTTCTGTATCTGTGAGTCTGTTTATGTTTTGGGGTTTTTTGTTCATTTGTTCTATTCTTTTAGATTTCACATTTAAGATTAAGCATATGGTATATGTCTTTCTCTAACTTATTTCACTTAGCATAATACTTTCTAGGTTCATCCATGTCGTTGCAAATGGCAGTATTTCATTCTTTATGTATATATGTGTTACATCTTCTTTAACTAGTCATCTGTTGAAGGACACTTTGGTTGCTTCCACATCTTGGCTATTGTAGATAATGCTGCAATGAAGAGGTGCATATATCTTTTCAAATTAGTGTTTTCATTTTCTTCAGATAAATATCCAGAAGTTGATATTGGATCATTCTTTTTAAAGGCTGAGTATTATTCCATTATATGTATAGGCCACATTTTATCTATCCATTCATCCATTGATAAACACCTCAGTATTTCTACCTTTTGGCCATAATAAATAATTCTGCTATGAACATTGGTGTACAAAGATTTTTTTGTGTGTCCCTGATTTCAATTCTTTTAGATATATACCTAAGAGTGGAATTACTGGGTTATATGGTAGTTCTATGTTTTAAAATGTAGGTTATTTTAAATAATGGTCTCTCCTAATGCACTTGAAGGCTAGATAAGTAAAGGTCCATTTTATTCACAGCTTCTTGAAAGCTCTTCTATTAACTGATCTCATTTCATGGGTGTCAGAGCTTGAGTAGTCAGTGTGAGATTAATTCAACCCTGAGCATGGGCCGCATGTCTGTCAGGCATCATGCATTTGGCTTGCTTGAAAATACCCAGGCATTGGGCTTATGATGATATTACTTATTGTTTAGTGAAGAATGATGCTTTTGCTATAATTACAGTTTTGAAATTCATACATTACTGTTATAAGACACTACTTTGATTCTCACTGAAGTTAGCCTGCTCACTTGTACAAAGTTACATGCTGACTTAATACACAGCTGTTTAGTCAACACAGATAGACAAAATGGATTCAGTCCCAATATAGATGGAGATTGGACCACTGTGGTAATTAGTATTTATACTAATCAAAATATTCGATGGTTCCAAGTCTTCATTTTACTTGCAGCTATGCAAATATGACCAAAGGTTGGTGCTTTCTGTGTAGAAAACACAGGGGTGAATACAACTACAGGACTAATCAAAATTGAAGAGATGTTAGTATTATTTAAGACAAAGAATGTAAAACAACCAAAGGTAAGCTATTAGCTATTCAAAAATAACCTGCATCTTCATACTGTATTGAACACTCAAATAGAATATGAACTCTGTGGTCCAAAGAATTCCCATGTGTTTGGTACTAACTCCCTTGAGAACAAGAGTAAAATCTAAATTAAGAATTTCTTATTTGACTCCAGAGGTGGAAGTAAAACTCTCTCCAGCACATAGGGACAACTATTTTACAGATTTTTTTCTGGAGGAATCCAAAAGTCCTCTTTCCTTAAGACAAATGAGCTGATACTTCCATAACAGTGTTAAATAATCGTGCTGAGGAGAATCAAGATGGCAGAGGAGTGAGTGGAAGTCACACTGACCTCCTCCCAGGACCAATCTGGAATTACAACTAAACTGTGGAGAAATTGCCTGGAACAAACAACTGAACAATAGCGAGAGAGGAGCCTTATAACCTCAGACAGAAAGAAGAATCAGCTTTAGCACAACCTAACTGCCACTTACCCTAGTCTCCAG